GATCTGTAATGTTTTACCACCATTTTGAGTTTTATCTAAATTGCATATATAAACGTAAAATTAATTATTTATAATATAAACTATTCCATTACATTCGAGTCTTCAGAAAATAAATTAATATTGCTTAAAAATTATATAAAAGTATCACTTATCAGATCAAATCAATTTTTTTGAATATCATGAACATTAACGGTTTCATGTTCAAGGATTATAATAGTATGTTAATAACATATTTTAACGATTCAACGTTGTTGGAAAAAATAAAAATCAATCAAGAATTATAAATACCTACATACATAAATGACAATGGCGAGTGGTGATTTGATATGATTGTTATCAATATGGATTATCAAAAATGTCGATACATTATTTATCATGTTTTTTATGTTGCGACCATTAAATGGTAAATAATAGTTTTACTATCAAAACTGAGTATAACCAAAAACCAGGAATACGTGTTTATAATTAGGAAACATTAAATAATCAATGAAAATAATAAAAAAATAACAATAAAAATAAAATTAAACACTGCTTGGTCTTAATTTTACTAATCTTTTAAATCTTTAAAAAAAAAGTAACAATTTTATAGCATAAATATAATGGATAATCTAAGAGACATATTTTAAAAAGTCTTCTTACATTCTGAACTATAATTTTTTTTATTTCTCAATTGTTCCAATTCATAAAACAGAATATATGAATTTTTACTTTTTGAATAAACTTTTTTTTATTATAATATACGAAATATTAATTTAAATTTAAACTCAAGTGCTTTGCTAACTACTGATGAATGTTTAATGCACTAGAATAAGGCATGGATTCCAACTAAAGATTGTGATAATTTTGCGAAAAAGATAAAAAAAAACTATATTCTGAGTTACAAAATGTAGAAAAAAATAAAACAAAAAATGGAAATATATATCGAGTAAGAAAAAAGCAATTTGAAGAAACTTTTATTTATTTGATATCGCCCATTCAAATGCAATTATGATAATTTATTAATTCTTCTAATTCTATTATATATAACGGCTTTGTTAGAACAAAAATGAGGAAGAAACGTATTATTTTTAGCTTATCGACAACATATTTTCGAAATAATGTTACAAGCAGTTTTTATTGAAGCTAAATTTTCACAATCATCTGGTCCAAATATACTTTTTTTAAGAGATTTGTTAATAGTTGGTCCATTATTAATAAAAAAGTTTGGAAAGGTGATCCCATGACATTTAATATATTAAATACAGTTCAAGATAAAATATTAGATTTTGCAGAAAAAAAAACTTAGAGATGATTTCCCTCGTAATGATTACAGAGTTCTTGCAGTTGATTGTAATATTTTTTAGAGGAAAACTTAAAGGAAATATTAATTTTAAGTAACCTAGTATTTAAATATAAAAACATTGCTGAAATTGCTCTAAAGACATTTATTAATTACTTACGGTATTGAAATGACGAATATGTAACATTCTCAATTTTTGACAACTGTATTTCCTTGGAACAAAAAAAAATAATGGCAATGAAAATGTTAATGAGTGAACAGAATGATAATGAGCAAGTAGGAGACATTAAAATAAAAAAAAAAAATAGTTATTGAAAATCGAAGATGTGTTGATCTGATTTCTTAAAAATATTTGATAAATTTGATAGTCAAACTAATTCTTTATCTTTTGATCCAATATACTGGGAAGTAAATGAAGAATATAAAAAAGGAAAAGAAATTATTGATATTTTAAAAGTTGTCAACAAAACTGTCGAACGCTATGTTAAACTAATTAAATTAAAAAATATATATCGATGGCGTAGCACCCAAGTGTGACAAGTGACATTTTCTTCATTGTTCAGGAGTACGATTTTTAAGTTTGAGCTGTTATAACAGTTCAAAAATGTTACGAACTGTGTTGAACTTTTTGTTATATTTTCCTTAACATGTAATGAGTAATGAAAATTAAAAACCTGCAATTACCACATTTGTATTCTTAAAAAAAATTTAAAAAAAAATAAATATTGTACACATTTAGTACACGTAAAAAGTAATACTTAAACACATCACATTTTTCTTCTAATTTCAATAAAGAACAACAGTTATTTGAATTATGTTATAATTTCGGTTGTGCAGAATGTGCGGAATTGTATGATTAAATTGAATATGCACTGAACTCATTTTTTCAAAAAAATGTCACTTATCAAACTTGTGCGCTACGCCATCGATATATAAATTATAATAAAATATTATATTTTAAACTGAAGTATATAAATTAATATTCAAAATATATTAATATTTTATGAGCTAAGCAATAATTATTCTCGATTTATCAAACTAATATATCATAACGGTTACTCTAACAAAACCCTAATAAAATACGATTTTTCAAGAAATTAAATTTTATACAATATTTATAAAAGATACTTTATCGTAAATAATTGCAGTTATAAAACCATTTATAAAGTATAATCAAATAAAAGGAAAAAGACTTTGACAAAAAAAATTATTTTTTTTTTCGAATTTTTTCTAAAAAATAATGAAAATATGAAAATGTTTGTAATATACTTTTTTGTAGGCATTAATAAATTGTATAAATAAGTTTCAATACATTTTTATGCTTATTACTATATTTTTTGAATAAAACTAAAAAAACAGTAAAACCACCCTAAATTACCTTATTTCAACCCTGATTCGGCACCAGAAGAGGTTAATTCACATCTTTCAAATTTTGTCAAAATTACTTTCTTATGTAACTTAACAAATCTATGGGGTACGGAATAATATGTAAAAAAAAAAAAATTCATTTTATAAATAACGACCACCCTAATATATATGTATTAATGTAATTTAATATTGAATTTATTTTGAAATGATTAATTAAAAATTTCCTAATTCAACGGTACAATACTTGAATCGCGATTTTATTGATTTTATATGATGAATTTTTAACTCAAACCCAGTCGTACATGACAAATATCAAAATACTCCATACCATGCATTTATTTGATTATTTTTTTATTTAAAATGTTAACTCGTATAAATATATACAATATTTTAACTGAACGGTTTAGCGCGCGTTCTAAATGTACCGGATTATAATAATATCGCGGTCCACAGTTTTCATCGTACCGATGTCAAACATATCTTCAAAACCGTCGTCTGTCAGGGCCCCGGCATTTGATCTTTTCTCCCTCACACGTAATCGCGCACGTTCCCGGATTGTTGTTCGGTATGCACACGAAACGGCGCAATCGTGCAGGTACAGTTGGTACGCGCTAACGTGTCCACGAAGTTTTCATCGCTGCTAATGAAGCACGGCGTCGTCGTGTGATGTTATCATTCCGACGGCGAGAAGTTTTGCGACGATTTTAAATACTACCGGCAGTCGGCCAGATTTATTCTGAAACCATCCCCTCATTCCACCATTTCAATCTTTCGCTTCGCCGAGTATTAATAATATGTAGAATTGAGTCGGTAAGAGAAATACGTATTTTGCTGATTTATTATTTAATTTTGTTTATATTCTTATTGATTTCAAATACTTCTGTTTATACCACTAACTTGCATTATTTATATTAACCTATATCTGTATGGGCTCTTACACGTCTTATTAATTTAAATACATTATTATTATTATTAGTATAATCATTAGCTAATCGTGTTAATTTATTATTGAACACAGAAATATTTGAATAATATGTACTCGTATATATTTTTTTTGCACAAACATCCCCACGTAGGGCCAGGTAATTCGGGTATTATAATAATAATATTCATATTAATCGGTGCCAACCTTGTAGTGTTGTCTTTTGGATGCCGATCACTTCTATTTTGTTTGCTTACGACTAATTAACTGTTACTCGATTTATCTCAATTATACAAAGTCGAGTCATATTTTTGGATTTCGCGCACGTTCGATACTTCCTTTTCTTTATTTGCGATTTGGTATTTACAGGTTTCTTTTGTTGTCGTAACTGTCTGGCATACGGTAATTTTTCGTTCGATGTGTTTCTTTTCGTCTTTTGTTTTGTTCTTCTTATCCGGTAGATAATCGCATTGTTGCGTAAATTTTTTTGGTCATAATTTACAAACCATCCTCCTCTTCCATGATTATATTAAGCTCTCAGTACTATCATCTCATTTCACACCCAATCATCCGTCCTTCTCTATTCGTTACTTTTTCGTTCTGACCCGAACGTCTCTGCTTAGTGAGACCTTTTTAATTAAATCTTCCAATCTTGTTTTCGTTATCCCAGCAGTCATTTCCGGCACGGATTATTTGTTCATGCATCCGTTAGCTCGTTCAGGCTTCCCCGCCCAAGGAAATATGCTCCATACAATACGTACTGTAATCTTACTCGAGAACTTCTTCTCATGTAATTTCTTCAATGCTTTGTTCTTGTCATCTTTCTGTTCGCGCATACCCTCCTTTCTTTTTTTTCTCCTTCTATTTCACTTCGTTGTTGTTAACATTTTTATTGCGATTCATTTGTTTAACGAGTTCCACGGTCATACGAACACAAGTAGCGTGTTGATGATAGAATGATTTTCGACACGAACAGAATAAATATATTTCGATATATATGAGTTGCTATGAAGACAAAATATTCATATCCTTGGAGTTACGTACCGTCTAGAGTCATTTCAATAGCGCATATGCGACAGTGCAGAAATTATTTGCTTCGGAAAATACCGTTGATTGTCATTCGATACACGATAGATCTGCGGAAAACAATGTTGAGATTTAAGTTTTTTACCCCGTTAACACCCCGAATAAAAGTCGCATGAAGTATACATTGTACACGTATTATTATAACATAACCTAATATATATGATATGTGGGTTACTGAAAATAATGTATCCGATTATAGACAATTGTTTTACACAGGTATCCACAGGTACGCCGTACCATTACGTACTACACTACTATACTAACACTACTGTGTTCAAAGGAGTTGGGAAAAATTAATGAGATTTGATATCATTAAAAAAATATCAGCAAATAAACGACTATAAATAAAAATATTTAAGAGTACTTTAATAGGGTCAATCGTATGGCCACATAGATATAATAATTACATTAGACCACTTTTGGTTGCATAACCATTTTTATTGTAAATTATGCAAATGATAATAAACAATTAACAATTAACAATTAACCTTAGCAATAATTAAAATACAGTAGTTGCTCGTTCACTCTCGGTATTGCGGAGTATATTAAAACTTCATATTCGACGACATCTGATGTCATGATTAGGTGGCTATACGAACAGAAAGAAAAAGAAAACGCTAAATTGTATATCCGTCGAATGTTTTCAATGACGTATTATGTTTGGCGTACACTGTTCACTGTTGATGCGATTTGAATCGAAAGTGACTTTCCCATGATGATTTCCTCATTGTAAAACTTATAGGTGATGCGCAACATGTAACTGTTCATAACTTGAAAAAAATATATAAAATAAAATGTGTTAACGTCTCTTCTGTCCGATCGATAATAATAATAATTATAATAACGTTTAAGCATTTACCGAACACTAACGATGCGATGGTAAAGATTTCAGCTCCTCCTAACCTTATCGAAGTAACAGCACAAGTTAGGAATGTTGTCAACAGATCGGCAACTTGTAAAATCATGTAGAATTTTATGTACGCCAAGTTGTGCTGTGAAAAAAATTTTAAAAAAAGACCATTATACCTGGTACATCTTATACGTATAGATCATATTTCGGACGCTGAATAAAATACACAATTTGCTGTATTGTATTTTTAATTTATTTTATTTTATCACATTGTAATTTATACGACTGTGTAGAGTTAAAGAAAAAAAAAAAAGAAAACTAAAATTTATGAGATTTGTTTTACTCTGAGTGTAATTAGTGTATGTACTCAGATCTGATGGCATAACTGGACTGAAACTAACTAACGCTGATTTTACAACAATATACGAACACTCTAATTGAAATCGTATACATAGGTAACAATAGTCACTACGTGTAATACTGATCACACAACAGACTAGAATAGCGTTCGTTTGTTCGTTGTAGCGTGTTAGACAATGTCACGGGTTACGCGATCAATGTTCAGTTCTAGATCAGTAGTGATATGTGTATATATATATATATATATCGCTCGGATGCGTGTTTTAGTGTAATAATCTGAGAGTATATGATAGTTTTACCAATGAGCGTGATCCTTACACAAATGGCGTTTAAGGAGTCTGTTGACGGCTATTATATTTTAATTTTTCTAAAGACCAAACGTCCAAAGTTTTAGCTATAATAACGCATGTAACGTATTTCACGCACTATAACGTGTACTACATTCTTGTTCATATGTATTCGTACAACGGATGATAGTATACTGTTTTCTATCTCAACAGAAAAACATAAAACGACTTTTGTACATAAAAGCGTATGAAACATTTTTTACAAATCGATGCATTGCTTTTAAAAATAAACATAACCCATAGCTTGTGTAAACGCGTATTGTGTAAGTGCACGAGTGCGTCGATATTATGTACTGTTAATAAACGTCAATAATAGTGGGCACATCAAAACCGAACACGATAAATAATAATCGATCATAATTTCACTGATTCATTTTGTCAATGTATGACTATTCATCACTGGCCAATTACAGCATACTGCGAAATGGTAATGAAGAAAAAAAATAATTTACAGGGGTCCTAAAAGATCGCCAATACATTGGCGTACAAGCACTTTGAGTATGATAAAAATATTTCATCACTGCCTGGTGTACAGTTTTATATTAATCAATAAATCGCTTGTTGAGAATGCAAAGAGTCCATGTACATTTATTTTATTTTATTTTTTTGTTGAAAAACAAATTAAAATAACCAGTGGTTATTTAATCTATAATACACATTTTGATACGTATAATTGCTCATGTTTTAAAAGAATATTAACTATAATTGTTAACCGATTGTTGCTACTCGCCTCTCGTATTAATCAAATTTAAACATTATGATACAAGATTATTATTATTATTATGGCATCGCAATGCGTAACCGATGGTTTGCCGTTTTCGGGGTGGTATTGTGAAAACGTTCCCGAGTTTTTTAAAAAATAGCAACGATGAAATTGTTGTCGCGCGCACGTTTAAAAGTGATTTAACAATAATAATCACTATAAGCTATTGTAATAACTATACATGTGCTGTATCGCGTTAAAAATAATGTTAATACGAACTGAAATTGTTGCGGTGTCCATGTGAAAAAGAATATTTTACTATCGTAAAATGTGGCATGATATGAACTTATTAAAACTTACTACGTACGTGGCTTTCTTCAGATAGACACAGGAAATCATTATGAGGACCAAAAAGGTTATCCGATAAAACACGCCCAACTCGTAGTTTAGTTCATCGAATTCTGCAAGTAAACAAATATGTGAAGCATTAAAATGTATGATTACGCTTCGATAGTTCGTCCATTTAAAAGATATGTTTTCGTTGCACGAAGTAAATGATATCTTGTTACAGCGGTTTTCCAAACACGATCAGAGTTTGTTTTTGATTATGTAGGGTACCTTAGGCACACGAAATTTAGGGGCTATTTTAAAAGTAAAAGTACGATTATTATTTTACATTACCTAATCATTTCCAAATCATAACAAAAATTTGAAATTTGAAACGATATTTTTAGGCCTACTTCTTTATTCAATAATGCATAAACTTAAATTATCAAATAAAAAACGATATCATTTGATCACGGGAATATAATAACAAGTAACCTTGTAGTTGCCTGTCATTGTATGTCGCGTCGATAACTTGTAATTAATTAAATTAATCGCTGAAGAAGTATTCATTGTATTTATAGAATTTGTTGAGTTGAATATTATTTAGTAATATTTTTAAATTATAACTTATTATTTGAGCCTGATGGTTGATTATTTGAAAATTAAATTTTAATTGATATAGGTTTTGACAATGCGTTACAGCGTAAAGATGTAAACTATATTTTTCAGAATCTCCGTCGGTCGGGGGTCCCATTAGTTCGGAGGCTCTAGGCTTGTATTCCACGTGCCCTTAGTACGAAGAAGGCATTGAACAAGACCGATAAACGGCCACGGTCAGACGTTTTCAAATCGATCGTCGCACCATCTTTAATCACATACGGCCAAAAATAGCTTTGTACCGTTTAAGCGTCTGTGCGTATCCTTCTTGACTAAGCTGAACGTGGCAAAAACATGGTTTGTGCGAAGGGTCGATCAACGCACGCGCGCGCCCACGGATAAATGGTGGCGATAAATTTTATAACTCGAATGCGCAAACATGCTAATACTATTTTACTCGTACCGTCATCGTATCGGTATTTCTTGCGCAGACTTTGAATTACGTCTCCTCGCGCGTTCCAGTTGTCGAAGTAATTGACTATGATCGTTAGAGCGAGCAGAAAATTCAAGACCTAGTTGCGGAAAAACGAAAAAAATAAAATAAATTATAAAATAGGTCATACGCAGCACAGGAAAATTATCCTCTCCCCCTCTTCTTCGGTTTAGTTGGGTTAAACCGGTCGTGGTTTTTGGTAGCGCACTTACGAACTGTACATACGCGATTGTACGCGTAAACCTGCGAACGTTTTTCCTCCCACATATTTTCCGGGATTCATTCATGACGTCTTTACTCCAGTGACAAATATGTTGTGTCGCAACGAACCGCTCGAATGCTGGAAGTGCCCAGAACGTGTGTCGCATTCACATTAAACCGTGCACGCAAATCGACCGAAAAGTGTATCGATTTACGCGTTTAGAACTTCAACACTGCTGCGAACCGTTCACGTTAAAAGCGCCGACTTGAATCGTACCGAACGACTGCATGTTAATGTGAAAACGGACTCGCGTGCTGCAAAACAAGAGCTAGCGAGTGAACGAGTGCATGAGTACGTGTTCAGAGAGAGAAAGAGAGAGAGAGAGAAATTATAATTAGACTATTTTAATTAAATTGTCATTTCAACGATGATGATGTGGAAATCGTTTCGTCTTTTTGTAATTACCCGCTGATAAGACGAGTGGAATCGGTTTGTCATCCAGCAAACCGAATCGGTTAATACTTTTACTGCGGCACTGCGAGTGTTTGACCACATCGTTCTAACGTATTCGAACGTATTTTGACGTATTGTTCTGCCACAAACGATACTCATAATAGTTAAAAACAGTATGCAATTATGCATATACGTTTTTCTACGTAAATGACAGTTTATTAAAATGTATTCATTTCTATTTTACAAAATGTATAGGAATTTGAATACATGCAATGTGATAACGAAAGTGCTAAGTAGAAGTAGAAAAAATACTAGTTAACAAAAAAAAAAAAAAAAACAATTAAATAAATTCAAACACGACGCAGGAGAGAAAATTAAATTTAAGCTGGAGTGACCGGAGCAAAACGGCGAATAAGGTGGTTATGGCCAAACGTTGTGAAATGAATAAGTGTGCAGAACTGTGCTTGATTACGGGTGTTAAATTACTTTCAAATTGAACCGTTTGCACCTGTATACATATTCTCGTATAATTATATACATTTACAAGTTAATTTATGGAGAAATATTATTTGTAGTTATGCGTCTTAACTATCCACAATTGAGGTTTACGAGTTGGATTTCACGGGCGGAACTCTTTTCGCCCAAAAATGACCTTCCTCTTTTTGCCCACGTCCTCTTTTTGATCAAAAATAAAAAAACAGTTTCCTCTTTTCGCCCAAAAATAATTGTATTCTTTTCGCCCATAGTTTCACGTTTTACATTTTGGAAACCACTTTCTCAAAATTAATAATTTTTAAAAAATATTATTTGATATTCGATAAAATCACGTTTTTGATTATTATTAATATAGTCAGTCGAGAAAAGTGTATAAAGGTGCCGACTCTTCTATCGAAATATATAGTTTAAAACACTTTAATAAACGTTATAATTACTTAAAAGTCATAATTAATATGAATATTTGTATTATTTTACAACGACAAAACAAACTATTTATTTAAGTAGTAACCTGATCAAATTACTTATTAGTTATTTTACATCGATAACACTATTTTAAATACTTATTTTTAACACTTATTAAATTATTATTAATAATTATATATTTTTTCTATTTTTTTATTTGATTATTATATGATTTTTTTAAAAATTATTAATTTTGAGACAGTGGTTTCCAAAATGTAAAACCTGAAACCATGGCGAAAAGAATACAATTATTTTTGGGCGAAAAGAGGAAACTGTTTTTTCATTTTAGGTCGAAAAGAGGACGTGGGCAAAAAGAGGAAGGTCATTTTTGGGCGAAAGGAGTACCGCCCGATTTCACGGACGCCTGGACAAAGGGACTGGATTAATCTGATATTGTCCACAGAACAGGTGTCTGTGCATACGTATGCGTACCCAAAGTCGTGATGAGCTTAATATTACTGATAGGCAGTTGACGTTAAAAAACCACACTACTATTGGCCAAAATTCACTGTCTTATTTATGGTTTTCGAAGGAATGTAGAACAACATATAATATTGTACTACATTAAAATGCATAAAATTACGTTCTATAACCAATGGGGCTATACGTTGTACGAATTGTTTTGCATTAGAGTAAAAGTTAAATTTAGCTTGAGTAGCTGTAATTTATATATACAGCGACCCATCTATCTACAAACGTCTCAGAGGCAATCGCTTCTCGAACAATCCTTCACCGCATCGCTGGGCCTACCGGAAAAATCTCTTGCACACGATATTATAAAGTCGCGGTCCTTCAGCGCAGGGTTCAGCGAGTCTAGTACCTGATAAGGAAGCTTGGTGCAATATGCGCGTCGTTGCTGGTGGCTGTCTAAAAAATTGTCCGTAAATTGTAACCACGCCAAAGAAAACGATCCTATATTTATATACATGTATAAATGTATACAGTGTTCTTACTTGCTCGAAGAGTAAACAGATTTTGCATCCGTGTTCTATGATAAAATATAGGAAAAAACAATGGGTCGGAGAAATGATACGATAAGTGGATAGGCGCTACTACTCGTGTGAAAATTGATAACAATATACGCGTTAATCCTAAAGTCAAACAAATTTCGTAACCATATCACAGAATTCCACGGTATGCTCACGGTACATACGCGCGTATACAAGACGGATTATGAACATATATATATAAATATATATATATATACATATATTATACGTGCGCTTAAATCGCTGACGTTGTGCAAGACAGATCCTCTGGAATACCGTATTACTCGTAATAATGTTTATATACAACAAACGCGGCTTCCTACAAGTAAACGTAACTAACGCGAACACGCGGCTACAATACATTAGCACTTAGTTGATGGAACAGAATTACGCATCGACTAGTTCTGCAAACAAGAAAACGACAAATTTGCGAGTCAGAAGTTCACAAACTATAACTCTACTGCTATGTTGTATAAGACGTGTTAATATGTACGTTAAATTGGAACCGTAAAATACGGTTAACGTAGTTGTACATCTTTCTGTAAGATGGTAAAAGCTAGTGCTAAAACAACGCATATTATAAAACTAATATTGAAAGTATTAACAAATTATCCGTACAACGTCGAATTTTTGAAAAGTATTGATACCACTACGGGTTCAAGGTGCAAACTACGGTATCGTATTTGTTTCCGGAATAGTCTGAATAATTGGGTAATACATTTTTTACTTAAATTAAAAAGATTGAATCGCACTTAGGTCGAAAAAGGTTGATGTTTATAAATATGACATTGCATGTTTAAAGTTCATCATTTTAATAGTGGCAAAGAAATTTTCTAATTCATCCCGATTCCAACGATTGGTTATTAAAAAAACAAACAATATCATCAGTTCTTTAAATACACTAACAGTTCGACCCGGACACGGATATTTCGGCGCGACTGTTTCGGCGTGAGGTATGTTTTGGCACTGGATTACACTAATTTCCATAATACACAAATTTACTTCTATAAAATTAATATTATAATTCACTATTTGAATACATACATTTTTAAGCCTAATTTTTTCGAACATTGATAGTTGATTGCTACATCTACGGACCAAATGCTCCTTAATAGCCTGTGACAAAACACTGTTTATAAAAAGATGGGTTTAAGTTCCAGGATTGTTCAAAATCAATAACCCAAATCCTAGAAACCATGTAAGTCTAATACCAAACACCGGGACTGAAATAATTAAAAAAATAATAATTGACAGTCAAAAACAAGACCGTAACTGTATAGATATTCTGTATCTGGCACAAATCTTGATGAATTGTAACCATAATTTCTTAAAATCAGCTGAGAATCAATTTAGTAAAACCAAATGCTTAAAAACGAATTAGTGGCTCTAAAAAAATGTTAGATTTGAAATTATATTATTCAAACAGTAATTCACATACAGTAATTAATATTTATTTTAAAATCTCGATTTTTGTTTTATACAAATCGAAATACTTAAAAATTGGCAATTGAAATAGTTCTGAAAAGTGTATGTGTGTATGTATAATACATTTGTGAAACAAATGGTTTAGGATTTGAATTATTAATTTTTTTTTAATTTTAACAAAACTCTTTTAAGATTTTTGTACACAACTTTTTGTTTATTGTTAGTTAACATTTTAGCGTAGAATATTGATTAGAATTTCTCTTGTTCTTCTACTTCCGTCAACACTTCCAAAATAACTGGTCGGCCAACTCCGGGTATTGATGGTTGATTCCCATTATTCGACAACTGTTGCAGTAGTAAAAGTAAAATTGTTAAATCGTCCGATACAAAAAACACGCCGTAATACTCTTGTAATATAATATTATTCATATTACAAAACCAACCGGCTATAATGCATAGAGAGTGCCCTACGAAAATATGCTTGAAATATTTGCTGAGATAACGAAAATAATTGTAATTTAATTATAATAATTATTATAATTATTATTTTTCGTATCAATAAAGATTATTATAATTATATTAAAATACTGTTTTTTATATCACATTGATAAGGTCTACAAATATTCATATATTACTTACCTTTTTAAGGTTTAGTAAAACATTTTTTAAAAAATAAATAATCTTTTATTTTATAATTTTCTAAAACACTCGAAGAGAATCATTTCACAGAATTCATTCTTTTGAAAACTTTATCGTTTCAATTTTTTTATTTTCATTGAGCTCGTTGTTTTTGTTTTTTTTTTTTTAAATTTACAGAAAAATACGAGTAGTCTTATTCAATTCTTATGCCATAATAGTGTTTTGAATTTATTAAAAATGAGATAAGATAATGTAAAACATTTAGAAAATCATAAATCATTTAGAGTACAATATTTTTCTATCAATCAAAAAAAAAAAAAAAAAAAAAATGAAAATATAAATAAAATCATGTAGTTTAATGAAAATAAAATTTGAAACATTAATATTTTTAGAAGTATAAATTATATGAAACGAAAAAGTCTTCAAGCTTTTCAAAAATAATAAATTAAAGCGTCTATTTTTTTTAAAAAATGTTTTTATGTAACTGATTAAGACATAAAATTATTTTATTTAAATACGAATTCGTATTATGAACTGTTTTTCTCATCACTAAGAATCGTGCAAAAAGAATAATCAAAAACCGTATTATTTCATCATCTTCATTATCTCGTGGTATATATGGCAACTGGTTATATTGTCCATATTATATTCGTGGGACACTCTGTACTACACCAATAAGCTACTTACTTTTGATGAGTCGTTTGTGAACATCGAACCCTGTTCCAAAAATATGTACGACGATTTATCGTTCTTGTAAATCTCATAGACAATGTACACTTTGTAGCAGGCAAACACTGTAAAACGTAACTCGACGAGGTGGTGAAAAAGTCGTTTGTTTTCGTAACATTATTATTTATGCGTCGGATCCGTTGTACAATTTACCTGGGGCAAACGCAGGAAAAATGTCGAATGTTGAGGGGGGCGGGGGTTGAAAAAATTTAAAATTTAAAATGTTGATAAATAGCATGTTTTATAACTTATATTATATTACATATATATTTATATATTTTATTTACAAGTCTCATGGGAATCTTTGAAATAACTATTAAATTTGTAGCTCAGGTCATTTTTTTTAATACATTATTTTCTGATATTTCCAGGATGGGGTAGGTTGAATCCCTAAAACTCAATCTGCGTTTGCGCCAGCAGTGTACGCACGTCGAGTACATAACATATTATAATACTATTATTTTACTTACAGCCTACCGTCGTCGCTCTAATACATATCTCAATGCTGGACTCGCAGGTGTTTGAGGAAAAAATGAAACACGTCAACGTCCATAATAGATATATGTTATTGACCACTATCCATATTCTGACGTCTTGTATATTGTTGTACTAAAAAGGCAAATAACAAAAATGTAACTACCACAATGCATGTCGTTGATGTGCACAGGAAACATCATTTGGAAACAGTGGCGCAACCAGGGGGGGTTAAGGAGTTGTGACCCTCCCCCTCGAAATTTCTCCGAGGTCTAGTATAATAACCTATATAATATAGCAGTGATTTAAATTCAAAATGTTTCCTTAGAACCTATTAAAATTATATTATTAGTTATTACTGTGGTGAACCATCACCACATTACTCCCTCTCTTCGGTATGCCGACGTGGTTGGCACCACCGTCCATCATGACCAGTGACATTTCCAATAATGATCAGTTTACCATTTATGTCCCTTGTGTTCATATAGAACAAAAAAAAAAATAAGAAGATTTTTACAATTTGTGGAAGTTATTGATGTAAGTGGCAAAGCATTAGCACAAACAATACTTCAAAATCTTGAAATCATGGGACTCGAATTGAATTATTTAATTGAACAAGGCTACGATGGAGCGACGGCTATGTCCAAGAAATTTAATGGAATACAAAAACATATCAATGATAAATATCCGATGGCTTTATATATCCACAGTGGAGCACATAGCCTAAACTTGGCTATTTCATTTAGTTGTAATGTAACTGATATTCGAAACTGTATGGGCACAATGCAATCTATATGTAACTTTTTTGGTTATCCTAAAAGGCAAAATGTACTTGAAATATCAATTCAAAATGAATTACATGAATCAAAATTGAAAAAACTAAAAAAAATTTGCCCTACAAGGTGGGTTGAGCGCCCTGACGCTGTACTTATGTTTCATGAACTTCAACTTGCAGTTGTGGTTGCACTTAATGAAATATCTACTTGGAAAGATACTGAGACTTCTGTTTTAGCTAACCAACATAATTCCTCCATCCATAAATTAAGGTTTCAAGTAGCCTTATTGATATTAGTAAAAGTATTTGCAATAACTGCTCCTTTGAGCAAATTTCTTCAAACTGAAAACTTAGATTTATAATTTGCCCTAGAGTTTGCTGATATGACTCAATCAACTATAAAACAAATCCGTGATAATGGTAATGTTGAGTTTGATAATATATTTAAAAATGTTGAAGATGTCTGTACTAGTTTTGGTATAACTGTAAGTGATCCAAGAACAATAAGTCGACAAAAAATAAGAGTAATGTTATGAATAATAATCCAACAAAATATTATAAAGTCTCAATATTCATCCTATTTTTTGATAACTTTATTGAACAACTCCATGGACGATTTCTTGAACATAGGGCCCAACTAAAAAGTTTCAATTGCTTATTACCTAAGACTAGCAAACAAATATCTGAAGAAACTTATGAGGACTTCAGAATTATGTACAATTTTTATACTGATATATTAAATAACAGCAACAATATGACTATCCTAGAAGTAGGTTATGGTAAACTTAAACTGTGGTATAACAAATATTCAAATCATTAAATTCGTCGTTAATAATAACCGAAATATTTTTCCATTGTAATCCTGATTTTTTTCCTGTAATCTCAAAGTTATTGTAAATATTAATTACACTACTAGTTACAACGGCTACTGAAGAGAGGTCTTTTTCTTCCTTGCGTCGACTGGAAAATTATCTGAGAAATACTACTGGTCAAATGAGACTAAATGGATTAGCAGTCCTCAATATACACCAGGATATTTATATTGATCCATTGATAATAATTGATGAAATGGCTAAAACTTCAAAACGAAGACTCAGTATTAATCTGTGTTTTTTTTATAAATACGAAGTTTATTGTTTTAATTCTTGTGATATATAACAATACTAATTGAGAAATTTATACAGTGTATATATTAGCATTAATTATGTAATATTATTAACCAGACAGGATTTTAGCTTATATGTATATTGTAGTAATGTAACATTGTAACCCCCCCTTTGAAATTTTTTTCTAGTTGCGCCACTGTTTGTAAATGATTTACCTGTTAAACTATTGTAAAATATTAAAAAATGTAACATGTTATGCACAACATTTAAAAACTTATTAAAAATATTCATTTTAAATGTTTCAATATGCGGGGAAAAAAATTTTCACGTTAAAAATCCATTTTTCGGATAAATTGAACGAAACTGTACAAACGCATTGTAAAATAATTGCCGCGTATAATAACGGGAAATAACTGTTGACATTTTCTATTTCAATGCAGAGTATTTTTCTCAAAATTAAGACGGTAAAAAACCGTCGAACTGACACAAAAATGATAACTGTTTATTATTCATCAGAGTTTAAAATTTAGATTAGTTAACGCATTGACGTTTTTGACATATTCACTACTATTCTACTTAACGCATCGAAACATTTAATAGTTAACTACCGCGGTTCAACTATCGATTTTTTTTTATTACATTTTTAGTGTACACGAGATTATCAAAAACGTATTTTACTATTATGTAAAAATGAAAATATTACGTAAAAGCGTGTATAATGATATCTAGATTCATACAACAGGTCGCTGGAATATTGTATTTATCGTGCAGTATAATATTATTATAAAAAGTACTAAGAACGAATAGTAGTAATTTTTTTTTTTATCTAAAGGCAGCGCCTTGTCGTGATAGCCATGTCTCCCTGTTGGTTGCTAGGTTCTTCAGCTGCGAGTATGAGCTTGTGTTCATCAGCAGCATCAGATCTTTGAAGTAGGAAGTTCTAGGGCGTCCTCTTCTTTTTCTCCCCATGATCTTTCCTTCGAAAATGTTGTTGATGAAGGTATTGTGTCTTATGAGGTGTCCAATGAGTTTCGTTTTTCTCTTCAAAATGTGAGACATGATGTTCCTTTTCTCTCTTACTTCTTGCAACACTATTTCATTGGTCTTTCTTTCAACCCAAGATATCTTGTTCATCTTCCTCCAAATCCACATTTCGGTAACTTCTAGCCGTTTTTTTTCATTCTGACCTATGGTTCAAGTTTCACAGCCATACAATAACACACTCCAAATGTATGATTTGATGAATTTCTTCCTTGTATTTAAATCAAAGTGTTTGTTAGTTAGGAGGTTGTAGTTGCTGTCGAATGTTTTTTTGGCCATTCCTATTCTTCTCTTAACATCGTTGGTAGATTTTTTGTCGTGAGTAATGGAGCTTCCTAGGTAATAGAACTCTTCTACATCTTCAATGACCGCATCCCTTAGTTTGATTGTAGGTTTCACTACGTGTTGTTCTTGTCTAATTCTCATTGTTTTCGTTTTTTTGGCGTTGATTTAGATTTGATATTTAAATAGCAATATCTCCCCCCCCCCCCTATAGTAGTAATATAGGGATAAAAAAAACCTAAGAAAGTTTAGTTTTTACATCTGAGAATCGTCGAGTGACATCTGCGGGACAGAAATGGAATGGAATGAAATCATAAAGGCACATGGTCCGAGTATAATTATATTTATGTAATATCGTAGTAAATTACACGGATTCAAATAGGAAATGTTCTACTATTTTAGATTTAGTCCACTATAAATTCTAAACATTAAAATTTTTAGTTGAAAAAAGCACATAACCGTCGTATATTCTAACGATATTTATTTTTATTTACTCATACCATATTAATTTACATACTCCTTATTTGGTAGTTATTTGAATCAAGATATAAATCAAAATAAAATATTTTCTAGGTTACCTCTAGTAAAGTGAAAATATTTATACGCTCTGCTCAAAACTTTTTTGACTATTAAAATTGTGATTTTTGAATAAACCCTCCTTATTGCACATTTAAAGTATATTAGAAAAACCACAACGTCAAATTTCTAGTTCATACGTTTTTTCGATTTTGTGTTGTATCAATCAGTAAACGAATGAGTGATATTTGAATCGTATAGTCATAGATTATAATACGTATATTATACAACACGAGACAAAAATACTACGTTGGTGAATATTGTATAATATTGTACCCAGCAATCACCTTAGACGCATAAAATATTTTATGTGTAATGAATGTTTTCTACACTCGTTTGAAGGTAACCATTTTACAAAATGTATGCTTCTAAATGTTTGAGATTTGATAAATCTAAAAATTTATTTATTTATTTATTTTTTTTTTAATAATATTTATGTCTTGGAATATAATTATAATATTTTTAATTTTCTCAAATAATATCGCAATAGGTATAATTGCGTCGATAATTTTGTATACTGTTTTGTATGATGGAATAGTATTACTGGTACGTTCAATTATCGTTGTCTTTATAACTGTTTGAATTCCATAAAATTGTATAAATTATATTATACTATTCAATCGATATGATAAACATTCGAATAGTATGAACAATTTCATTATCGTTCAAGTACGAATTGCTAAGGGACACGACGCTGTCATCATCGAAATATTTTAAGATTAACATGCATTATTAGCTACACTATACTACACGCGGAAAATGCGATTGCAAGGCCAGTCGTTATAATATTATAAAAATTGAGTACAATATTGTACGGTGAGCGATTTATTTATATTAAGTTTTTTGTTTGCAGACCAGATAGTTTTATATCGGTAGAAAATGTCGGTACTCTCACGTAAATCCTGCACAGGCAGTTAAATATTTAAATCAACTGAGAATGATGATAAAGTGTTGGTATAAAATAAAAATAAAAATAACGCGGTTTCAATTGTTAATCGCTTATTTTTGTGAGATTTCCGTTATACATTGTATTATATTACACATTAATCGCGAAAATCATATACGCACCGTATTGTTTGTCAGAATAATAAAATGAACTTGTGTCGCTTAGAACATAACAATATTATAATAACGGTGGGTTGCATGAGCGCCGATATTAACGCACGCGTTCTTTGTGCGATCACAATGTCGGACGATAATCGCGAGGAAAATTATTTCGAAATCAAACCACAACCGAACAAAAAATTTTACCTTCGGTACCCCTATACAATATGCCTTCTTACGACAACATGGTATAATACTATAAATATCTAACGCTCCAGTGTTTTTTTATTTTTTATTTTTTTTTTTTTTGTTTTTTTTCTATCACTTCATTCTCTTCAACCGAAAACGACATTTTGCGTATCCCACTTGGTAAAAGCAAACGGTCACTATCGTATCGTCCGTTTTCAAAATATCTCACTCGGTTAGTATTGGTGCGGGTAAAATAACATTAGGAACATTCGAAGATCGGGTTAGTTGCTTGCACGGTTAAAATAATCGGACCGGATGTATTGTCACCACCATAAAAAAAAAAAAAAATTACAGGACACGTTTCGCCAAAATTAAAGCTTTTACGTATGGCTCAACGAATCGTTTATCGGTTTTAAATCAATTTGGCAAGGGATACGATAAAAACCACGGTATGGAAGATGTTTCGTGGAAATGTCATGACTACTGAGTTTTATTTTCATTCGGCGTGACCCAGATAACATTGCAAAAGCTTATCTGAAATATTTATTACATACATAATTCCCAGTGCTACGGTTCTACGAAATATTGAAATCCAGATAACAATTAATACCTAACGAACATACGTTGACAGTTTACGCACACGTGATAAACAAGGTGCCAACGGTAGTGCGATATAATTATAGCTAACAATAATTAGTTATTAACATTGTAGCGCCCACTTGTTGCCTAGTGTATCGGCCACGCGGTTTTCGGTGTCGAGTTTTTAACTGAATTTGAACTCAATAAAAATATTTCATTGTTCAGCAATAATGGTCGTGCTAGCGGATAGAAAGATATGGTAATTTCTAATCATTTTTAGTTTAATGTCGTTTCAGAACAACGGAAAAATTGGTTGATGTCATTGATGATGTGTAAAACGATTGAAAACGTACGTGTTCCGCTGCTATATACACTTCTGATGGTAATATTCAAAACGAAAATTACGTTTTAAATTCTGACCAACTTCGTCGTAATCATATTCCGTGTTCTGCTCAAGCAATCGATCGTCATATAGCGAGTGTTTCTTGTAAGCGAAAAGCTTCTGTACAGGCAACCAAGAAAAAAAAAAAATTAAAATAGTTTTCAAAAAACATAGAAAATACGACTGCTAATGGTAGAATATCAAATAATAAGAAATTTTTTTCTTTCTCTTAATCTGTTGTCAACTAATTGAAAACTTATAAAAATTGTGATCGACGAAATGGAAAAGGTCAGATTTTAGTGAAACAAGTCACACATAAAAAAAAATTCACTTTTAATACATTCAACTATTCTATCACTAGATATCGTGTAATGCATTCATTATTTATGTTCGACTATGCAGGGATCGGTGAGTATACACTACATCATATTTAACCATAAGGCGGATAACGATACAGTACAAATACGGTATGAATTTGAAATATATAAATTTCTTTTCATATTGATTTACATGGAAAATACTACCCTAAAAGATTAACTACTCGTATCAATCATTATTTGGACGGACTAAGTGAGACGAAATGTAACAGTAGACCGTGCAAACAATGACTTGCAACCGTACCGTCTGACGGCGAACCGCAGGCCGTCACTTACATCAATAATATCAGTTTACATTCACATCTATTGGATTTACCGTCAGTTTATGATTTGCTTATAAGCGTTTTAGATTAATAATAAATGTAATTGATAGATAGACGAGCGTTTTTTTAACGTCCTTATTTCTACATTTAGTACCTAAATATTTTTCACTCGTAGAGGCTGATAGTGTACGTTTTTTTTAAACTTTTTGGAATGCAAATATGGATACTAGGCAGTTAATAACCGACGTTAAAAAATGACCAGTATTGTGTGATACATCTAATGAATATCATAAAGATTGAAATGGAAAAAAGATTAAGCTTGGTTGAACGTTAAGTCTGTTCTGTATGAAGATTTAGAATCTAAAGTATTTTCATATTCATATCTTGGCGTAATATTTTATGTTTAATTTTGGTAAAAATTCATCAAATGTTGTCACATAACAATCGTTCATTATTAATATCGGGTTCACCCATCATTTTCTTAGTTCCTTTTTTTTCCTGCGGACAGTTTTCAAGGCAGCATAAGCGAAAATTGCAAGTGTCTAGTCATCTAAAACTGATGTTGTCCCTAGTTGCGTGTGACTGAAAAAACAACGGCCGTCAATAAAAATAAAAAAAGTGAGTGAGAAAGGTTAAAATTACTTAAGGGAGCCCTGAGTCGAAGGGTCAGGCGTAGAAAAGCAACGCGAGCAGTGATGCAATGCGCGTAATTTGACACACACACACGTAGTCGGAGCGCAGGGTCGTTCGCTGTTCACATGCTATTATTATTATAATTTTTGCCTTTGTTCTTAGGCCATAGACAAACGTGGCCGATACAAATGACGAAGGGGAGAAAAAAAACTGGTTCCGTACGAACGCTGCCGAGGGATACTCATACATCGTATTTACGAAATATTATATTACGAATGATAGCAATTCGTTTGCGCGGGAGTTTCCATGAACGACGGTGCGATGCTTCCTTGCAAATGGAAATAGACGTTTCGAAGTTGCAGGTACGTGGGAAAGAAAATTTTATTTGCACATCACGATGATGATGGCTATAAGGCTTGAATAATAAATTCTTTTTCGTTAGAGAAACATAGTGGCATCGTGCGGACGATCATCGATGAAAATTCTATTACGAAGTTAATCGATTTAGATACGTTTGCCGTTACCGTTTAATCGCTTGATTGATGTGGTAACAAACAAATAATGTTTGTACTATACAGGGTTAGAAGATTAAATTTACCGGCTTCCTAACGGATGATTTTGCTAACCCTATATTATAATTGCCACGGAAACGATTCAATAAGTAAAATATAAAATGCATTTGAAAAAAATAATAATTATGTAAAAAAATAAGAATTGTAACCAATGTCTATTTATTAAAAATTAATACTAAATAATTAATAAAAATTAATCTAAACCGGTTAAAAAAAGAAATAGATAAGTAAAAGATAATAGTTATAGTAGTTACTTGCCAAATATCGTAACGACACGAAAGATAAAAAAATAACAAATATTTTCAATGCGAGAAATCTTTTTAATTTTTAAACTGTATGAAAATGGTAAATTATAATATAACAAATTTAAAACACAACTTCAGTAGGCAGCTATTGCATGTTGTTATACATGACCGATGTGTTTCCATATCAAAAATATAATTTATATTCATAAGACGCAAATATCACTCATTTACTCACTATTTGATCGTTGTATCTCAAGAACTAAAAATCGTATGAACTTAAAATTTTTATATAGTGCTTCTTCTAATACTTCAGATGTAAAATTCAGAAGAGGATTTTCAAAAATCGAATTTTCAAGGAACAAAATGTTTTTGACTAGATGTACACGTTTTTTCACTTTTTGATTGAATATTTTATTTTGATTATTATGTTGATTTTAATTAGTACCGGTTGAGGTATATATATTCAAATTCATATAATATAAATAAATATTTATTTTAAACTGATATCGAGAACCAACCAGATCCGAACTCGGACCTGACATAATGTAATATTATGCACTACATAATCTTGACAAAAAACTTTTTATGTTATAGTATACTTTTTCAAATAAAAAGATGGGTACATTTAATTTTAAAATTTAAAGAATAACGGTTTTTAGATGAGTAAAAACGGAAAAATAATTAGAATTATCAAAAGACCTTTTTCAAAAATCTACATTTAAATGAACTGTAATTATACAATTGTTTAACGTTAAAAAAATTATCCAATGTATTATATAGGTACTTACCAAGGACGTGGCATTTCTTAAATGGAAACTTGCATACACTGATACAATAAAATCGCTTATTTGAAATACTATGGAGGCATGGTAGTTAAATTTTACAAATCCTGTAAACACACAAACACACACACATCAGTATAACTCGCATCAAAATATTTTAATATATACATTTTTGTATAAATATAGAATTGTATACAACTATTTGAACTTTTTCCAGCTTTATGATACTTAAAAAAAAGAAATCATATTAATATGTTATACATGTTAAAGTGCGTAAATATTTAAATGTACAATTCAATGTAACTTTGATATAATAATACATACATTCTCTTCTTTTTTTTTATATATCAGTATTGATTTTGAAAATACCGAACAAACCTGATTTAACGTGAAAACCGGCATTCCGAAATAATGAGATGCTTGATAGTGCGATTGCGAGTTACTCGGAGGAAGAGAGTTAAAAAGTATTTTAAGATGATTGAAAATATCACAGGAAACACTTACGCCGGGACGATAAAGACGACTGGAGATTAAGGAGATGAAGAACGCCAGAGATTTACTTGTCGAGTGTAACGAAGAGAGCGAAAAAAAATTGAGGAAATCGTTCAGGTACAGTTTTATACAAAAAGCAATGAATAGTATTAGTATGATATACGTTCAAGGTAGAAACGCAAGTGAAGAAGTATTTTATCGGCGGAAAATGTGCAATCTGTGCAAAACGAAGTTTCTTTACCAAGTTATTTTTTATCGTCGACCATATGTGCCAAGGTTCATGTGTCAGGCGTAAAACGAGACGAAATGGTGTGACCGGTTTATGATAATATTATCTTATTAGATATTTTATACTATTATAATAAATGTGTGTTAATCCCGAATATTATTTTCATGGGAGAAATTCGTATCGTCGAACTAAAATAGTTTTCTTTAAATCTGTAATTTTTTTTTTTTCCAAACTTTTAAAATTCTTAATGCGTTTAACCGAGCAAGTGGTATTTTCAAGTTTGATATTAATATGTTTTAAATAATAAGTCATTTAAGGTGACTGAAGATTTGGTATAGTTTATTTCCCTTTCATATAAAAACCATACAGGCAAGTTTGGAAATTATTTTCCTCGTTGAGCATGTGAAGCGTAAAGTGCGCTATTTTATTTCTTCGCGTTGTAAGTTTATCACAAAATGTTTTGCAGTCGAACGTTTTATAAAAAAAATAATAGCAATTAAACCACGTTATCTGCTAGTAATAATAGAGTTAACTATGTGTAAAATAATGATTTTAAAAACTTACTATAACCGTTCGGATTCAGATGCGAAAATTTGTGGAATTGATCGGAGTACCATTGGCTCAAAACACAGCTGGCCAAAAATATGATCGAAAGTAGCTGTAGCCACTACAAAAAAAATAAAGAAAGAGTAAAAAAACTCCTAACACATTAAGAATTTACAATATTGCGATACTCGTTTAACGATTACTAAAATACAATGAAAAAACAAAAAAAACTACATAAACTGTTAAAATGATTGTTATATATTACTTACGAACTGTAGAGCTGTCAACGTGTACAGCGTTCTACGAGGGTTTGGACTTGAAGCTCTACAATTTGTAATTCCGAAAGACGAGAAACCCGGCCATTGTTTTTTGAAGTACGTTAAATTGACAATCATTTGTGCTAAGGGGCCGCGGTTGTCGGAGAAAATATCCTATACGTGAAATGTGATCGCGCACGGTCACGTGAAAAGATTGCAGTCAATATTATAGTGCAGCGCGACGTGTGGTGATCGGAAGAGCGTTGTGACACAGTTGACATCAGAATTAAAAGTAATATCCGAATCTAAAAATATGTGCGTTCCGTGTCGATGGTCGGCCGGCACCGGGCTGCTGATAACGACGTGGTAATAGATAAAAAATAAATATACATTCCTCGTTTCACTCGGTATCTAAAATAGAATTAAAATTTAATAAAGATAAAAATAAAAAAATATGAGAAGAAAATTAGTAAATTGGGGCATCGAATACGGTGGTTTAACGAATTTCACAAGGACATATTTTGGCTCTTAAGAAACGATAACATTTATAATAATCAGAAACAAACTACTAATTGAATATTTTCGATCGAAGTAAGATGTACCAGAATTACGAGCGGTTTAACGACATATTGATGCAAGTAAACAATGGTGATGTGAAAACTGATCAATAAAGGCTCTCGCATTATACTATACGAAGGACTACAGGGAAAAACGATAATAGTCAATATTATTATACTATTTAGTGTTGCAGTTTTAAAGTTTTAGATCTCAAAAAACTAAAAGATAAAATACGAAATAATTGAAAGAAATGCATTGTAGTCATATAATTAATTGGTGATAAAATAAATAAAAAAAAAAAATAAATTTGTTTTTTAAAACAAATGACAAGATGATATAATTATCTGATATTTTTCTTTTTTTGACTATTATCGTTTTTTCTCGTAACCCTTCATATCATTATCACGAGCAAAAATTCGTTTTATCGTTTAAAATAATTATAAACGTGAGACGTGAAGGAGCAGATAATACGCTTCACTACCTAATGATAACATTTTTAGTAGAGCGAAAAATATTAGAAATATTAAAAAATTGTTTACATTTTCATTATTTTAGATCAGTGGTCTTCAACCGGTGGGTCAAGATAAGTCTATTGTTTAAAATTTAAAAAAAATCATATTCATATATATTATACTTACTATGTATTTCATATGGTATTGGATAAAATAATTTTTGAATAAACCCGAAACCGTACTATTTTATATTTATACAAGAATGAACACTCCTTTCTCATATACTCATACTTAATTAGAAGAATCTCAATCAATATGCGACACTAACTACTAACTAGACCTAACTTTACTTATATAATGTGTAATATGTAGTATTGTCATTTAAATCTAATACCTAACACATATAATATTTAACATTTATTGACTAATAACCTTTGATATTGAATCCTTAATTGTCAAAAAAAAAAAAATAGAATGAACATTCAAATTAAGTAATAGTATAGCGATAGCCCGATTTAATTCATAAAGCTCATATATATGTAATTTATCTAAAAAATTGAACCGAGGTGGAAGTATTTTGTCTGAAAACAGTCCGGGACAAATATCGCACTAATATTATTATTTTTTGTATTATTGCATATACTTTTTTTTATATCATTACATGTATTTTTTTTTTATCGTTACTTATAATAAAAATTCAATATTATATAGACACCAAGAAAAATATAAATTTTAATTTATTCGGTTATAAAAGCACTTCTACTATGGCATATATTTAAGCAATTTTAACTTTTTTTTGGTTTTTGGGTTGCGAAAAATAAATGAATGATAAGAAAAGTAGATGGCAAGTTAAAAAGATTGAAGACCACTAATTTTTTTACAAATTTTTACAAACACCCTAACTCCGTACATCATTTTTTTTAAACATTTTTGTACATAATTTTTTAAAAAAAACGATCTGTTTTCTATCAATTGGCCATAGTTATATAATTCTATATTTTTATTTGTAGTAACAACTAAAATCTAATAAACAAAAAAAAATATTATAATAATAAAGACAATTTACAACAAACATCATCGTCGTTCATATAAAATTAAATATAATAAAATTATAATGTAAATTAAATATTAACTAAATATTATTAAATGGTGTTAAACTTTTTACAAAATTATATCTATCAATTTAGTTGTCGTTATATAATTCTATGTTTTTATTTATAAATTCCATATTGTTAGTTTAGTCCTACTTTCATTATTATTAGCAGAATTCATTCGTATGTAAGAATCCGTCTGCATAGCTAATAAGTTTTTAATGAAAACTGCAATATTTGGATGTGCTGAAGTAAATAAATTACCAAATTTGGCATGAAAAGACTAAAGTCTAAGTTTATTGATAAATGCGGAGCTCCAGTGTTTTCGATATTTCAAACAATTTTATGCCATTCGGACTTTTGTTGTTAAAAATATTTTTAGAATGTGGAGCTACGGAACGTTAATTTTTTTGACCATGCGGAATTACGGTGCAAGTGGAGTTGCGTATTTACAAAATAATTTTATTCGTACAAAGCTATGGTGTGTTCGAAATAAACGGTTATCAGGTTGGTCCGTAGACATGAACATTAAAACTGAAAAACTGTGGATTCGTACAAATTGGAAAATCGCTGATCTTCTTTGTTGACCGTTAGAATAAACGGATGCAGGATCAGGGCCGAATTAACCTAGGTGCAAAAGGAGCATTTGCTCCAGGGCAGAAAATTTAGCGGGATGGCATAAATAAAACAGCCTCAAAAAAATTATTTAAAATCGTCATTAATACAAGAAAAAATGTCCAATTTATCAATTTTATGCACAGAATCTGAAATGGTTGAGGACATGAAGTGAGAAAAACTAAAATAAAACTTGTAACTATTAAATCCATAAAAAAATATAATTAAAGAAAAATAAATAATATTATAAAAAAAAATAATATATAATATAGATATACGAGTATACATAGTTATATGGTTATAATTTTTTTTTTCAATTGGCGTTAAAATTAAAAATTCTTTAATTATCATCTAATATATATATTTGGAACCAATTTATTAATATTATAATTGGATTTTGTCAATATTTTCCATTAGTTTAAAAAAATTCTTTGCAAAACTATTTTGTGACATTAAAAATATACCTATTTATACTTTTTAGTTTAAGTCAGGAGCGTATTTAGGGGGATGATATGGGTGTTAGAACATCTTCTTCCCCTCGATCGTATTTTATGATATTTCACCAGATTGCAAACTTACTTACAGTGTAATTTGAAGAAACGTTGTATACAACTTGTAGATTTTACATATATTGTCTTAATATAATCGTTTTCATTTATATAATAATTTATATAAATACGTGGTATTCATTATTGTAATACGGAAAGGGGAGAGCCCCTGACTTACCATAAGTCTATTAAATTTTAAAACACCCCATTAAATGAATCCTGGGTATGTCATTGGTTTATGTAGATTAATTATTATATTTAATCTGCATTTTGTAATAGTGTTTTATTTTTTTAATTTATATATAGAAACCAGGATTTTTTTTTTTTTTTTTGTTTCACTTAAACTTTATTTCTTTGAGATGGAGGGGGTAAAAATTGTTTGCCTAACCCTTAATTCAGCACTGTGCGGGATACTGAAGGTGCGAAAGTCGGAAAGAGAATATGATGTACGGCTGCTGCTGTATTCTAACGACAAGTTCGTTCGAACAATACTTACAAAGAGACAGGTAGCTGCAAATCGAAATACATCGTCGTTTGAGAAAAACGACGGTCAAACAATCGGTCGTTGGCCGACGGACAGGATTACGCGCCGCGGTGTTCCGTTGTCGACGACTGCCTGATGCGCTAGATCGGCAAGACGAAAATCCGCTCACGGAAGAGATATAACATACGTCGGATATCCGGCAAGTAGCATAATGTTTTGAATGCAGTACTGTGGAAGGAATCGCGCGAGGTTAGGCGTTAAGTATAGAATGAACTATCGTGTTTACCCGTTTTCCGCGTAGGTACGTTCCGACAGGTGAACGAACGGCGAAATACACCGGCGGCCCACTCGGCGCACGGTCGTGGTAAGAGGTACACTGCGTACTAACAGTGTTGGATCGTAGCAGGTGAGTTTTGTGAAACCGAATAATAATCCCTTGGTGGAGTCGGAACTTAATATTTCATTCGAGACGAAAACATCTCACCGCGTCCAATCGATGGCATTATTGTACATTTATGTAAATCGTCGCGACATGCGTAGCACGTGACACTCCGGGGAATGGAAAAAATGTTCTTCCTCACAGCTTGTATGCTTTTTGCGTCGCTCGAATAGCGTGACTCGATCGTGAGAAAATTCGAATGAACAGTTATTAGTGAGTATGAATGCGTACTTTTTTGTATAACTATATAAAGCAATAAAAAAATTCACAACCTGGGTCGGCCGTATTTATACACCTCCTCCTCTGAAAAAATAAATACATTTTTTTTTTTAATTTTCTTACATTTTTAGTTAGCTTTGACTTGTTAACTACGCAGATAACGCTACTAAGAATACTTAATTATTATTTATAATTTAATTTTCACAATATTTATGAATACAATATCACACCGGGAAAATGTCTCCATCGCTCTCCAACCCCATCATAAATACGGATCCGAGTGCAAGTCACACCCCGAACTCACCCATTCGGGATCTCGTACATAAATTCGGTACGCGATTCGTGTGCCAAATTATTCGCCCCGTGTGTTACGACAATATAACATTTTGGTTCACGGTGCTTTGATGTCTGCGTTGCGCGCGTACGGTAACATAATTACAATATGTAATGTTCGTTTGGTGTTGGTGTAACAATGCGGTTTGCGGGAAAACCGGCGGGCGCGGAATGTTGCGTTCGTGGCTATTGCAATGGTTTACGTTCGAGTAAGCACCGCGGACGGGAAATTCGACTTTTGGAGACGGCATGCTAACTTTGACTAGGTGCGTTTTAAGCCGTGTACAACAGACTTTGCCGCCCGACCTACGACGCCTATTCCAAAATCGTTTGCCCCCACAGTAACAACTTGTTGCTAACCACTATCGCTGTATTATCATCGATTCGTCGGTTAAAAATCCTGTATGAACGATTTTACTACAGTTTTAGTAACAAACAGTGTTTGGAACCCGAATTTGTTTATGTGCGTCTTAGGAAACAGCGTGGTGCCTAAAATCTGGTTTGACACAAATTACTCGTTTTATAATAACAAACTCAAAAACATAAAAAAAACAATTAAAATGGTACATGC